TACCACCTGCGGGCTGGATAGGAGTAGCTAGTGGTGACTTTGGAGTGTTTTCCCCAATTCGAGATCTTGTTGGTTTGTTCCGAAACGGGTCTCAAACAGGTCCTGTCTGTCTTTAATTTTTTTTCCCTACACTGGTCCTCCTGATGCCCCTTTCTGGGCAGAATTGCACCTGGTACTCGCAACAGTTTTATTGGTGTACCCCCCCTCCGGTGACAGCGAGGCACTGCCTAGGTGCCTGGGGGGTGGACTCCATTTGTTGCACCTCCGTTTTTTCGTTGTTGATTGTCGCGGTTCGCCGCGGGGACGTGTTGGGGAAGGTGAGACAGCAATTTTTTCCCCCCATGCCCCTCCACTTTTCTACCACGTTTTCTACCACGCCCCTTTTACAGTTCTGACAGATGTGTCCCTGCTGTTCGATTTGGCGCAGCAGGTTCAGGTGCAGTGATAGTTCCCTGGTTATTAACTGCCCCATCTCGAGGGAGAAAATCCTGACTCAATATTTGCCGATAAGCACTGATCCATATTTTTGGAACAGTGTCGGCGGGGTGGCTGACGGGTTTAGATCGAGAAAGTATGGCACGTCTAGTGTCGGGCAGTGCGAAGCAGAGATGTCGGGTTTGGGGAGAATTAAAAATTTAAAGGGTTTTGCTTTCGTTCGGGAAAAGAGGATCGTTCCCTTTTTGACTCTATCTAACTGGGAACCTTATTTACGACAAATTCCCCCAGTTATTTTCTCTGAGTTAAAGCTCAGTGGGGGGACTTATCTTTGTCAATAGTGTACCAACACGAGCAGCTTAGGGTCACTTGATGTAGGCTTCACGGGCCTTCTAAAAAGTTTAAGGGTACTAATGATTTGGAAGCTCATGAAGTTTTCCCCTTAAATGGATTTTTTAATGCGACTTTACAACACACCCCAATGGGGGCATCTTGATCTTTGGAGAGGAGTCCCTAGGTAGTACTTCTGAACCTTCATTCTGTATTCCAACATGTTTCTACATATACCCCAGGATTAGGGTATCCTTTAATTTTTTGAAAAATTTTAACCCGCGCAACAAAAAATTTTTCTTTTGGAAGCAATCTGTGTGGTAGTAGTTGAATCAAGTAGGTTTCTCTCTCTCTCTCCTCTCTCCTCTCTCTCTCTCTCCTTCTCTTCTTCTCTCCTCACCCTCCCTCCTCCTCCCTTCTCCTTTCTCTCTCTCTCTCCCCTCTCTCTCCCCTTTTTCTCTCTCCCCCTCTCTCCCTCTCTTTTTCTCTTCCCCCTCCTCTCTCTCTCTCCTCCTCTCTCTCTTCTCTCTCTCTCTCTCTCTCTCTCTCTCCCCTCCTCTCCTCCTCCTCTCTCTCCTTTTCCCCTTCTCTCTCTCAAAGAGGGGGGGGATACGTGGTTTTTGTGCCTAGGACGGGATCATTCCCTTTTTTTTCCCCTTTCCCAAAAATAAATGCAAAGCTTTGAGGTTTCCCATTTGTAATACTTTTCCACCTTTGTTATCTCTCCTTAAGATAGCGTTTTTTTCCTAATAATAATCGAAATGTTAGAGCATAAATGATTTGAGAAAAAATTACCGTGTCACCACTGGGAAATTTTTGTTTTTTAAATTTTTTATCCCACCCAGTCATTTTTCTGTCATTCTCTGCTATCCCTATTGTGTTTTCTAAATTATGGTTTTTCGTCCTTATTATATTTAAGCCTTTTTTCATTTTCCTACGGTTAAAATTATCCAATAAATAAGGTAAACTATTCTCTTTGAGTCCCTTCATTCTGTCCATATCTGAACAAATTTGGGAAAGTCTCCGGTAAAATCAGTTTACTTTTTTTTTGCTTACTGGAAACTTATTTCATATCTCCGGAAAATTTTTTTTCTTCTACCAAAATGAAATTTGAAGCTAATTTTTGGGGTTGTCCACAAAGGATGATCGATGCTGGGTTTTTGGTTGTCTTACATGTCGCCATAAAAAGTAACAGCAGCGCTAGCGTTTTTTTTAAACTTTTTCTTTGAAAAAGAGGGAAAAGGGAATGAGCCAAAACTTTTTGGGACCAACTTTCACTCTGCTGAAGCCATTTTTTCACACTACTCACTCTTTTCTATTTTTGAAAAATACGAATACATTTTCTTACTTTTCCAAAAAAAAACCATTTACCTAATTTTAAAGTCCTCTCACTCCCGATTTTTTTACCTTAAGGAATCCGTGAGACCAATCTGCGATTCATTTTCTTTCAAACTGTCTTCCCTTCTTCAAGTTTCTTGAGTTTCGTAGGTCATGCTTTCCCCCTTATTAATTTTTGGTTTTAATAATAAAATAATAAAATAATAATAATAAAATTTTTATTAATTATTATTATTTTTTTATTATTATTATTATTATTTATTATTTTTATTATTATTATTAATATTTTTATTATTTTTTTATTTTTATTATTTTATTTTTATTATTTTTATTATTATTATTATTATTTTTTATTATTTTATTAAAATTTTTATTATTTAAAAACAAAACTAAGTGCTAAACCCCAGGGCCATTTTGTCTGAAGGGGGGGGGATGATTAGGGAATATGGGGAAGCGGGGATCAGTAGGGGCGGACAGGGAGGGGTAGGAGTGAGGTAGGGAGATAAAGAAGGTCACTGGTGACTACAACTCACCTCTCTTACCCCACCCACCACACTACACTCCCTCTCACACATAAATAAAAATAATGAAAAAATAGAATAACGGGGGCCGGAATATTACTATTTTAATCAAAAACAGTTTTTTTTTAAGTCCTTGACAAAAAAAATTTGGGGAAAAGGAGTACTCATTTGGGTTTTAAAAAATGGGTGGGAGTTTTAAAAGAGGGGGACAGGGGAAACAATCAACTTGACCAAAATGAATATAACTTACAAAATAGCACAGAGGACATTCACCAGAACTAAACCCCAAAGGGCCCAAAACCTACCCAGCACAGTACTGCCCAAGCCATACTCCCGCCCATTGCCTCCAACATTCCTCCAGAGACTCACACCCCTTCTCCCGAGCCCTGCACCCCCACACTCCGCTCAAGTCTCTGCTCAGGACTCTGCACCCAGCAGCAGCTCCCCATAATCTCCTGATCAACTTTTCCTTTGGGGTTCTATGGGGGTCCAAGCACCCTCCACAACCACGTGTACGATGGGGGCCCCCAGGTCTAAAGCCACAAAAACAAAAGACCCCAACGGGTGTGCTTACAGACGTTTTTCAAGGAAGGGGGTTTACCAAAATTGGTTAAATTATTTCCCCAAGACCCCAAGCCCCTTGAACTACATCCACCCCTTCCCCCCAAATTTTAAAATATCGAAACTAGGACAATTTTGTTCCCCAGTTTATAGAATTTTTTTTTAATCCTAACCCCTTAATTTCAAAAAAACAAAACCAAATTTAAAAAAAAATGACAAAAAAAATTTTAATTACAAATTTCCCCACCCCCCACTACCACAAGGCAGTATAAAAACATCACCTGGCGTTGGCCACATAATTCGCTCTCTGGTGCAAAGCCTCCTTACCCTCATTTCTCCTTAAACCAAATATCGGGCTCTTCCTTTCCCTACTTCTACTAGAAATGCCTACCAAGCTAGTCACCCTCGCACGTTAACCTTTGGGGCCAAACCTCCTAGGCTTCTATGGCATGGAAAACTGCCCCAAACGGGTTGCATTCTTTCAAGTAACTGCAACTAACCACTTCACGACCACCAAGGTCGCATTTTCCCGGCACATTTCGCAGCACACTACAACATCTGAAAATCGAGACGGGGCGCACGCAGCTAAACCCTCCATTATCCAATGCCACTATAGGATTCACTGGCCCAAAAAAAAGGGGCCATAATCACTGGACGTTTCAAGGGCCCCCTTTTACACACAAAACTTTTAAACCTCGGGGCAAGTCAAAGTAGCTGGGGACATCTCACACTCTCAATGTCTCTCATGGCTGGCAGGGCATCCCTGCATACCGGTCGTACAAGTCGACCAGACAAGGCAGGATACGCCCTCCATACCGCCCTTGAAAGCAGGCTGGTTCCCCCAACAGCGGAGTCCATCTCCGCGGCTCACTTCCTTCCACATCTCCGAGGATGGCAACTCCTTCATAGTAGATTCTCCTGTCCTGGCACATCACCTCCTCATTACTCTACCCACCACACTACACTCCCTCTCACTACATGAAATAAAATAATGAATAAAATAGCAAATAACGGGGACCGTGAATATTACTATCTACTCAAACACAGTTTATTATTAAGTCCTTGTACAATAATATATTAGGGAACAGGAGTACATCATTGGTTTTAGATAAATGGGATGGTATGTATAAGCAGTGAGACAGGGAACACAATCAACTTGACCAAAATGAATATAACTTACAATAATAGCACAGAGGACAGTTCACTACAGGAACTAAGCCCAGGTCCCAAGACCTACACAGCACGAGACGCACCAAGCCAGTACTCTGCCCACTGCCTCCAACAGTCTCCTCCAGAGACTTCAGCAGCCTTCTCCCGAGCCCTGCACCCCAGCAGCAGCTCCGCTCGAATCTCTGCTCAGGAGCTCTGCACCCCAGCAGCAGCTCCGCACGAATCTCCTGATCATGCTCTTCCTTGGGCTTTTATGGTGGTCCAAGCACCCTCCACACCCAAACGTTACGACCGACGCCTAGGTCTGATGCTGTCAAGAACAAAAGACCTCAGACGTGGCGTGGCTGACAGACGTTTGCCAAGGCAAGGTGTGACCATATAATTGGTTAAATTAGGTCTCCCCAGAGACCTCACAAGCCAGCTGAACTACATCACAATTTAGCCCTGCAGGTTAGGATGTGCTAAAAGTGTAATATGCAAGATCAGAGACCAGCGAGACTGAAGAGTGCACCAGAGACGAGTAAGGGCGGTGAGGAGTTATAAATCTGTCGCTGACAAAAAAAAGTCAAAAAGGAAATCTTTGTCAAAAGTTGAGTGGCTGTCAGCGAGGAGGTCAGATAAAGTAAGGGCGTTAGAGTGATTATCATGCCGAAGCGAGTACGTACATACTCGCTGGTAGACAAGACAGTCTATAGCAAACTGAAAATTCTCATTGAGTGGGGCTGGGCACTTCTCCATGAGAATACCATGAGTGAGACGTGGTGTCCAATTCGGGAAGGGGGAGTGTAGTCTCCCAAACACGACATTGATGATAAAACGTAGATTAGAAACCTAAGCAATGTTTGAGAGAATGTAATTTGTTATGAATCAACTCAGTACATCGTTGCTACCAATGGTTCTGAAGGTCTCTAGAAGTGTCTAAGAATGGAATACCTCTATATGAAACGAGGAAATCATGAACAGATGACCGTGCAGCAGAGTCCGCCTACTCATTGCCCTGGACATCTACATACATGTCCAGAAAGCGATCTCTTTGTTTTACTAAAAATTCGGCGCAACCAAAGTTATATACGAAGAACTAGAGGATGAGGAGAATCAAACTCTATGATAGCCCTCGAAACACTAAAGGAATCTGAATCTGTTACGAATGTTGAGGAAGACAGGAAAGTAGTATATATAACAGAGAAGAGAACTGCATATAGCTCAGCTGTGAAAATGCTAGATGAGTCCAATAAATGACCTCATAAACACTGTCCGGAAACACTGCTGCAATCCCGCACACTCAGAGGATTTAGAACCATCAATGTAAACTGCAACGACACGATAAGGAGATAAGAAGTGGCTAAGAAAAAGGGAGAGAGAAGCTACTGTGGATAACTGAGCCTTCTCACATTGCAGTGGAGAGGAATTGAACACGAATCCTTGGAATTTCCCCAAGGGGGAAGAGAAAGGTAAGATGCTGGCTGAGCATATAAAGGGGGTAAATGAAGAGAAATCAAGAGAATATGAAGAGAAAAGGGTCGGGTAAACAGGGCAGCGAGCAAATAAAGGACCTCTACTAACGTCCGTTACCATCTTTTACGTTGAAGGCTAATGAAGGTTATGAGAGCGGACAAAATATCGAAGACAATGAACATCACAGCGATCGAGCAAAGATGGAACATTCGCTTCTGACCGTAGGCTCTCGTGCCCTACCTTACCTTTCATCCCAGTAAAATGGCAATCCAGAATAGCAACCTCTTATCCACCTAGCTACCTCGGCAGACAAAAGAGAGGGTGATCGGAAGTCTGCCACATCCCAGAACCTACGGGAGCGATGCACCCGTCATCCCAAGGACACCGAAAACTGCCCTCCAAGACTCCTGGAGTTTTACCTGGAGAGAGTTCCGGGGGTCAACGCCCCCGCGGCCCGGTCTGTGACCAGGCCTCCTGGTGGATCAGAGCCTGATCAACCAGGCTGTTGCTGCTGGCTGCACGCAAACCAACGTACGAGCCACAGCCCGGCTGATCAGGAACTGACTTTAGGTTCTTGTCCAGTGCCAGCTTGAAGACTGCCAGGGGTCTGTTGGTAATCCCCCTTATGTGTGCTGGGAGGCCAGTTGAACAGCTCGGGCCCTGACACTTTTTGTATAGTCTTTTAAACGGTATTAACCCCTGCTTTTCATTGGGGGATGGTGCATCGTTGCCAAGTCTTTTGCTTTCTAGTGGGTGATTTTCGTGTTCAAGTTCGGGACAGTCCCTCTAGGATTTTCCAGGGTATATAACATGTACTCTCCCCCCGGTTCCCGGGGAAACAGGTTTTGGAACCTCAAACGCTCCCAATAATTTAGGGGTTTTTTTCTCCGTTATGCGCGCCGTGAAATTCCTGTAAAATTTTCTGGTCGGAAATTTCACCTGCCTTGAAGGGCTTTAGGTGCACAAAATCCAGCCTAGATAAACAAGTGACCAAGATTCATTGGGGGTTGGCCTCCCTAGTTTTTTAAGGGTTTTCATTATCCCTCCTGTCATTTTCTAGCAGATGCGATTGATACAATGTTATGGGCCCTTTAAGGTGAGATCCTCCGACATATCACTCCCAGGGGGGGGATCGCACATCCCCAGATGATTCAGTTTCATGAACAAAATTACCACCCAGGGCCCAACGGAATGAGCAGATAAAAATAAACCTTTTTCCCCAAACCCAGGAGCTAGAATTCCGGGGGGAAAAACCCCAAAAGCCAAAGCAGGAGAGGAAGGAGAGAGAGGGGGGGGAGAAAAAAGGGGGGGATGGGGGAAGGGGGGGCGGGAATGATAGGGGCAGGGAAAGGGGGGGGGCGGGTGGCAGTTTGGTATGGTTTTAGGAAGAGACTAAAAGGTCCGGTCCTCAAACAAGAAACCCCTTCACCAAGGCCCCGGAAACTTCAGACCTAAAACCCAATTGAGAATCATTGCACTAACCAAACCAAATTTTAAAACAGGACTGCAGGGGGAGACGTTTGTGTACTTCCTTGGGTTGAAACCCAAAAGCCCCCCCATCGAAACAAAATTTACCACAGCTTAAGGGAAAATTTTAGGGTAGCAAAGTGGAGATATGGCGATTGACTGAGGAGAACAAGAGGATTCGTAGCAGTCCCCCTGTTCTGAGTCCTCAGGTCAAGAAGGGAAACTGGACAGTGGCTGGACAGCATGGAACGAAGTTAACGATCAAGAAGACGAATGGAAAGGTAGAAACGATGAAGAAGAAAGAGACTGCTGTGGAAACTGTTGTGGAAACATCTAATGCATTCTCTGTGCTACCCGATGAATGTGAGTCGACTACTGGAAACGTCACGACGAACGACACAAGGAAGGTAAGAATATTGTTGTTGGGGATAGCCAGGTTAGGTACATGGATAGGGCGTTCTGCTTGAAGGACAGGAGTAGGAGACAGAGGGTTTGCTTTCCTGGAGCTGGGATGGAGGATATTGTTAGCCGGCTTGACAACATCATGAATGGTAATGGGATCAATCCTATTATCTGCCTCAGTGCTGGAGGTAACGATGTAGGTAAGCATAGAAGTGAGGATTTAGTTAGAAGGTTCAGGACAGCAATAGACATAATTAGGAAGATGGGGGCACCCTGTTATATGTGGCATTTTGCCAAGAAGGAGTGTTGGAAATGAATGGTTTTCCAGAGCTATTGGTATTAATTGTTGGCTGGATAAACACTGTAAGGGTAATACAATACCATTCATTGACAACTGGGACAACTTCCGAAATTACATGTATGCCAGGGATGGGGTTCACTTATCCAGGGCAAGTGTGGGCTTTCTTGCTAGCTCAGTTGAGGTTGTTGTTAGGGCTTTAAACTAGGATTGGTTAGAGGTATGGGTTTAGAAATGATAAATAATGAGTATGGATATATTGCCTTATGCTCTGATATTAAGAATCTTAATAGTAACTGTCATGGAGTAACTCTGGGCAGTGATGATTTCAGAAATTGTGCAAAAACAAAGATAAATAGGAAAAATGTGCAGAAGAAAAAACATATGACGGTATTTTATGCTAACAGTCGAAGTACAAGAAATAAGATTAATGAACTACATTTGGTAGCGTGTGCTGGGAATTTTTATGTTATTGCATTAACTGAAACCTGGTATGATTTAAAGAGTCGGGATATGATTGCCAAGTGTAATATTAAAGGGGTTTTGCTCTTTCCATGGGGGTTTAGATTAAAAAAAAGGGGGGAGGGGAAGGGGGCTGCATTATTTGTTCAAAAAAAATTTTAAAATTGTGCAAAAAAACGGGTATAAAAATAATGGAAACAGTAACAGAATCTTTTTGGGGTAAAAGGTTTGGGTTAAAAAGGTCAAGAAAAAAAAATTTTCTATTTGAAATATTTTTCGCCCTCCAGGCTTGGATCACGATAAAAGGGAAAAAGATTTCCCTTGGGGGACGAAATTTTAGGGCTTCTAGACACAAAACAAAAAGATAGAAGGGGACAAAAACCCTTTAGCCAAATTTGGGGTTTTCTTTGCCCGGTAATTTTGGGGCCCCAGTGACTTTAGGGAAAACAGTTCGGGGACGGTTTTCGAACCCGTTTTGAACAGACCTACCGGGGGGTAAAAATTTTTGCTTAAACCTGGTCTTTTTCAAAAAAGGGAAACCCACTCGAAAATAATCTGGAGTAAGAAAAAAGCTTGGCAAAAAATGTCCCCAAATCCATCATTTTTTGAAATTAACTGGGAATAAAAAGAAAAAATTTTTTTAATACAGTAAAGAATCCCTGATTTTCTTTTATTTTTGCCGATTATAGTGGATTTTGGGAAAAACCTGCAGATCCCCTTTTAAAACCCCTATACCACCTGGCCCTTTTTACAGGCTCTGATCAAAATCCCAGTTCCCCTTTTACACATCTCCAACCCTATTCCCCCAAACCCCGGCCCTTCCTTTACAAGAACGCTTTAATTGGGGGGGCTTTAAAAAACACAAGACAAAACTAATCTCCCCCTATGACTACAACAACAAACCAAACTCTGAAATCGATACTTTAACATTGGGTCTCATCCCGGGCAAACCCTTTCCCCAAGCAGCGAACACCGCAATTTCCAAAGAAAATCTCCCCCCCATTGTTTCCCTTTAAACCCTTTAATTTAGAAAAAGAAACTAAAAAATCTGCTACCACAACCGCTTCCCCCTATAAACCACATAGGGTTTTAAAAAATCGTTATTAGATCTTACTTACCTTTGAAAAAATTTTTTTAAAAGCCCAAAACCAAAAACCCCAACAATCACTGGCCCCAACTCATAAACAAGCGGGCAAACAGCGTATTAAAAAACTAAAGCCTTGGGAATTTTTCAAAAAAAACAGAGGGACAAAATCCCACCAACCCAAATTTTAAACACTCCCCCCACAACAACATTTTTCCCTATGGAAAGTAAAAGGACCCCAAGGGGGAATTTATGGGGGCAAAGTTTTGCTCTCCCGGGGGTTTAACAAAACCATTTACAAAAAAATACATGTAAGTTTGTTTTAATGTTCGCCAAGACCCCCAAGTCCTGGCAAGGGGGTTTAATCTTGCGATGACCCGTCTCTGACCCAGGGAGAAAGGTTTCTACAAAGATGCGACGTATGCTGCTCAAACACTCTTCGTCAGTTCAACTGGTGCATCTCATAGCGACAAGACCATATGTACTCCTAACTATGGACACTAGGCGAGGAGTAGGATAGTCGTTATCACAGGTAACAGCTTGTCTGGTTCGTTGACTCCATGGTACACTAGTGTGGCGCAGT